TGTTATAATACTCTAAAATCAACTTCCTCTTCTCTAAATCATCCATACTGAGGATCACTGAAAATGTCGTCTGCTAGCAAGTAAACAAAGGGGGATAACCCTTCACAAACCAATGAAAAAGGATTAACGGAGTTGTCTCTCTTGAATGAAACCAAGCACTTGATAGCTGGTCAAGGTTGTTTATACTAGAAATCCAATTAAACATATTCCTAAAATTCTCAATATTTTCTGGTCATACTATATATGCGAAGCTCCACTGCACTTCTAGATATTATGATTTACATGGGAATTGCAATAATCAAGTCTCGAGGAGTGGACTAACAGGTTAGTTGTCTCGGTGTCTAGGAATCTCCGTATCATGCCGATGTTGCGTAGATGGATGTTAGCGTCTCTACAGGTGTTCAGCACTTGCTGGTTAGATTACATGGTGTTCGTGAACATCATTCCTAGGTTCTTGACTTGGGACCTTGTTCAGCTGCTGTTTGGTACCGATGACCATGCACTCGGTCTTGTCGTCATTCAACTTTAAAAAGTTGCTTGACATCCATTTGCGAATGTCCTGAATACATCTTGTCATCTCATCTTGGATCCTGCAACAGCGGTTGGTTTCACACTGATGTACAACTGGTTATCATCGATCCATGAAACTGCAGGCCGTGCTTCCTGATGATGTTCCCTAGTGGTGAGATGTAGATAGAGAAAGCCCTGATCCCTGGGGCACGCCAAATTTGAAAGGGTGTGTCTTCGAGTAGGCCTCGTGCACTTTTACCTGCATGACTCGACCTGACAGGTAAGACCTGAACCACCAGAAAGCAGTTTCGCGAATACCGAAGGTGTGCTGTGGTCTTCAGAGGAGCGTTTCGTGGTCCACCGTGTCAAATGTTGCTGACAAGTCAAGTAGAACCATCAACATCACTTCCTGATTGTCAATGCTGCGAAGGATGTCATTCTGCACTCACACGAGAGCAGTCTCGGTGCTGTGCTTCGCCTTGTATGCAGATTAGAACGCCTCATGTAGACTACAGCTAGACAGGTGGCCATTGAGTTGCTTCAGCACAACTTTCTCCAAGATTTTAGATAGGAAGTGAAGATTTGATACAGGGCGGATGTTCTTCAACACTGTTGGATCCAAGGTTTTTTTTTTTTCAAGATTGGAGTGATGACAGCTCTCTTGAAACATGACGGGACCTCCCCATTGTTAAGGAATCAGCATGGTCATGGTCACAGGTAGATTTCCAAGACATCCTTGGACAAGCCATGTAGGCATAGGATTCAGGACACAACACTTAGCAGGTGCTTTCTTGATGATTTCAGTCACCTCTGTAACTTTGACTTTTGCAAACTCCGAAGTGGCTTCCCTGAGAATGGTAAATCGTCCTGTAGAGCCGAGTAGGACACATCTGATGTGGAAAGGGATTCAAGTCGAAGTCGCGTAACTTTGGCTGTAAAGAAGTCTGCTAAGGAATTTGCCTGGTCCTCTGATAGCTTCGTGGATTGTTCCTTGATTGCTGTTCTTGGTTTCGTAAGTCGGTTGGTAATAGCAATGAGTTGTCTTGGATTGTTCCTGTTTTCAGAAACTGACTGCTTGATATTGTTGATCTTAGCCCCCTGGGTGAGGATGTTGGCCTTGTTCCTGGCAGCTTGAAATATTTGACGATGGACCTCTAGTCTAGTCTGCCGCCACGATTTCTCAGCACGTCGACGCTCGTGTTTAGCAGTCTCAACTTATCGGTCATCTAGCTGGTGTCTGGTCTTACTACAACACTGCGAGTCTTGAGTGGAGCATGCTTGTCCAGGAGTTCCTGTAGAACTTGGTTGTAAGTGTCGGCTAAAACGCTCACATCGGTCGACGTCGATGATGATCGGAGAGGGATTTCACTAGCATCAATGTCTTTCTGAAATTGATCGATGTTAATGGTTCTGGTGTTTCTGTATGTGATGACTCTCCTCGGCGCAGATGCAGATCACAGTACTGTGGTCCGATATGCCATGATCAGTGACAGCTACAGAGGTTATAATGTCATATGATTGTTTGGTGATGACCAGTCCAAAATGTGACCACTTTTGTACTTAGCAGATGTGACATGCTGTTTGGGGCTTAGTTCATACAGAATATCCGCAAATCTAGATGATAATGCGTTGGAGTTGTCGTCGACATGGATGTTAAAGTCACCGATCATTATCGTGTTATTTGGTACACATTGTAGTGTCTATCAGTAGACGAAGATCTCCTATGATGACATCCGATGTTACGTTATTCTTGCTTGATTGCGGGTCGGTACACAACTATGAGTTTGGTTGTTAGGCCATTGATTACAATCTTTTAAGTCCAAATATTACAGCCTGTAGAAAGTATGTTGAGTCTGAATTGAGGGCTGCACATCGAGGCACAATTTGTGTATGCGCCTCCTTGTCGATCAAATCTGTTACAAATCTGTTGAATGTTGTATCCCACAGGTACAAGATCATTGATGACCACATCATTATTCTCCTTCAGCCAGGTTTCAGTTGCAGCTAAAATGTCTATTCTATGGTCTAGAATGTAACTATAGATGCTTGTGGCGAACTCAAAGAGACAACTAGTGTAAGTAGTTCGCTATACGTATTTCCACTAAAATATAGTAAAAATAACCGGGACTAAAATCATGTTCTTTATAAATGTAGTTTACTGTTTATTTTTGCGACAAATATCTGACAATATGTACCCAGTTTAGTAAAATGTATACGCAATATTCATGTAAGAAGTTGATGTTAGACCTCACACAATTAAGTCGTAATGATGGTCGATCAGATAAATCTATACTGGTAGAAAATACAAGATATAATCCTACTGTATCTAAGCATTAAGAGAGATGTACTGTGGGAAAAATGAACGTGTGTGTGTGGTTTGCTTTGAATAATTTTATTCAGTTACATGACAGCGTGTTAGGTTAATATAGGGGGAAATAAAGGCCCTCGACGTTTACCACCTCCGCGAAATCCACACGTATTGTCCTGAAAATTCAAGAACCATAATAAGATGTGTGTGTGTGTGTGTGCGTGCGTGTGTGTCTGCGTGAGTGTGTGTGTGTGTGCGTGCGTGCGTGCGTGCGTGCGTGTGTGTGTGTGGTATTCAACCCCAGGGTCACAGGATTCTGGCATGCCTCAGAGAAGCAGTTCTGTTCTGGGAAATAAGGCATCTAAAGAGACTGGGTTGATTTAGCAATATTGCAGCAATATCCAGGGAAGTTTTCAGCAATATCAGGGCATGACACCACAAATAGGCTTACTACAATGTACCCATGTGGGTCAACCGGGTCCTCCGGATGAGGAGCAAACACTTTATCCTCTAGACTACCCCACAACTCCTCCTTGACCTCCTGATGGTAAGCTGCCAGAGGAATAATAATAATAATAATAATAACAATAAATGCCCTTCCTTGGCACAAACAACATGATGGCATGGCTCGTTGCTTTTACTACCGTCTCCGACATGCCTGTGGCTTTGACTCCGAGGTCCATCCATGGTACGACCCTGAACATGTCCAGGGCGTCATGGAAAATGATGCTTTCAAACTTCTCTGGAATAGGCCCATATACAGCCTCAGAAGAATTCCAGTCAACAAACCTGATCTTGTCCTTTTTGATAAAGCCAATGAATTTATTTATATCATTGAATTTTCTGTCCCTTTTGACACCAATGTGATTGGCAAGATTCAGGAAAAGCATACTAAGTATGCGGTCCTCGCCTTTGAAATGTCTTGCTTGCATTCCAAGTACACTGTCGTCAGGCTCCCCATTGTTCTCGGTGCCCTTGGTTTGGTACCTCCTGATCTCTTGGCGCAGATCAGGAGAGTGCCCGGGTTCTCCACCGGGAGTACAGCCCTTCTGACACTCTGGGTAATGCAGAAGGCTGCAGTGTTGGGGAGCCTTCATATTCTCCGGAAAGTTCTTGGTGGGTTCGGCTAGGCAGCGTTTCCTTGGAGAAGTCCCATTCGCTGTCTGGGCTGCGTGTAGAGGGGGCAAGGGCCCTGAGCTGATGATGAGCCTTACCAGACTGACTCTGCCAGGATCACCCGAACCCTCTCTGCTGCATTTTCATCTTTAATCTGTAAAACATAATATGCCATTGATATAGCGTCTTTCCACGTCACAGGGATATGCTCAAAGCGCTTCCTGAGCTCAAGTTAAAACTATATACAGCTGGCAGGTACAGATGATTGGAAGTCACTTGTAGCGGAGAAATCGATGAGTTTTGAGTCCTGTTTTGAATGTACTTTGGGAAGGAGATGATTTTAACTCGATTGGGAGAGAGTCCCACAGAGAAGCTGCTGCATATGAAAAGGTTCTTGAGCCAAATGATTTTAGATTATATGTGGAAAAGTTACTTCTTTGGGTCTTTTATTGAACAAGTACCAACATAGGAAACCAAACATAAAACGTATTTTCACTCCAAGAAGTAACTTTTGAAACCGTATGAATATAATACAACAGAAATACCCGCAAAATCAAGTCTGAACCGATCTGAACGTTATTCAATTAATGTATTTGATAAGAAGACATTGTATCGCGCTGATGTATAGAGTTTAAAAGTAGTATTGCTCCGTGATCTTATTTGCATATTTATCGGACCGCGATACCAAGTTCATCGGATTAGTTATGGTATCGACAACATCCATTATATGATAAATAGAACCTGCTCGTATGTTGGCTATATGGATTATCTGCCTTGTGAATGAATGCTGTATGCTTGCCAAGGCTCAAGACTTAAACCATTCATTCAGTCGCGACAGACAATCTTTGGCTTTGGTGAGCCATTACAGTATTCATTCAGAAGGGCATGATCCGTTATTCCACGTACGTTGTTGGTCGTCTCTGAAGATATTGCCAAGAGTAGAACATTTACAATCTTGATATGGCTGGATCATTGTCAACTATGGCTTAAAAGAAAAGTCATTCGTTTCTGGATCTTTGTAATGACTCGCTATATCAAAAATATATGAACACAATACTTCCTTGAATGGCATTTTAGAAATATTTATTTAATTATGTTGTTTCTCTGTTACATTCAGTATATATACATCCCCTCCTCCTCATTTTTCATAACTGCTTGACAGCGGTACAAGAAGTAAAAGAAGTTTTTATCCACAAACTCTAAAGTTTGTTCAATATTGTACACACAATTTAGAGTATAATAACCCTTCCTTGTGGATCAGGATGCAAAGCACTTTGTTTATTGAAGTAAGGGTATTTGGTCCGTTTCACCTCTCTAATATCTCGACCAGCTGACACAGAATACAATTCCGATTTTGAGCAGAAAGACATTTATTGCCGTTAATATTTAAAAGAAGTCTATTCTAAGATTTCTACTCTAGCCAGCGCCAGTTCCTCTTTCTTCCTCCTCTTCCTCTTCATCATCCATCTCTTCCTCGGATGTCACATCAGGGTCATCAACCTGACTGAGACACTTGGGGCAGTTGCAACTGAACAAGTAGTTGTCTCTGAAACCAGCAAGGTCAATGTTGGTCATCAAGGAGACAAGACTTTCAGAGGTCTTCAGGATCTTTTATATACAGGATATACACAAAAATGCTTTCAAGGTTGAAAGGTTTTAGGAAAGCTCAACATGATGCATGTCGTAGAAGTTCACTTTGGTGAAATTCACGGAACAGGTACCAATGAAGCAGGGATCATAATCAGGCAAATATACTTCACAATTACGATTATCAGATCCTGCAACCAAATTGGTCAAAACTACTATCAATGCCTCTTATCACATGTGTGGTGTCTTTTTATATTTTGACGGGAAACCTCTGTCTTAAATCCCCTGCATTTTAGGAATGGTTCTTTTCATAGAATATGCATGTTTGCATCGTAAAAGTGACAACATGACAATTGATCTATTCCATTCACCAGAGCCAGTTTACTCAATAAAGGCTGGTTGGTGTAATACTTGAAACCAATGGTTTAAGTAATTTAAATTCATGAATTCATGACCAGTTGTCTGCAGTGCTGAGAAAATATAATGTGTGATAGCTTCCTTGCTCCATCACTCAATCCAGCTACACACATTTGAGTCTTCGGTCTGCTGTGCCTACTCCTGTCCAAGGAACCCTCACTCATCTTACACTTGCCTGAGGATCCTCTGTCTGCTGTGCCTACTCCTGTTCACAGAACACTCACTCGCTCATTCAACACTCTCCTGAGGATCCTTTGTCTGCCGTGCCTACTTCTGCCCAGAAGACACTCACTCACTTATCCTACACTCACCTTAGGATCCTTTATTGGCTGTGCCTACCCCTGTCCAGAGAACACTCACTCACTCTACACTCACCTTAGGATCCTCTGTCTGCTGTGCCTACTCCTGTCCAGAGAACACTCACTCACTCTACACTCACCTGAGGATCCTTTGTCTGCTGTGCCTACTCCTGTCCAGAAGAACACTCACTCACTCTACACTCACCTGAGGATCCTGTCTGCTGTGCCTACTCCTGTCCAGAGAACACTCACTCACTCTACACTCACCTGAGGATCCTCTGTCTGCTGTGCCTACTCCTGTCCAGAGAACACTCACTCACTCTACACTCACCTGAGGATCCTCTGTCTGCTGTGCCTACTCCTGTCCAGAGAACACTCACTCACTCTACACTCACCTGAGGATCCTCTGTCTGCTGTGCCTAGAGAACTCCTGTCCAGAGAACACTCACTCACTCTACACTCACCTGAGGATCCTGTCTGCTGTGCCTACTCCTGTCCAGAGAACACTCACTCACTCTACACTCACCTGAGGATCCTCTGTCTGCTGTGCCTACTCCTGTCCAGAGAACACTCACTCGCTCTACACTCACCTGAGGATCCTCTGTCTGCTGTGCCTACTCCTGTCCAGAGAACACTCACTGAGATAACTGATACAAATCTCCTGAAATACACAGACAATGCAGATCTTAGAACAAATTGTTTCATTAATTAGAAACACCATCTAAATTTCAGTCATAAAATATGTTTGATATCTAACACCTGTGCAACATTGATCTAAATGATCTAATTCCTTACATTTTGTTCAAATATAAATAAATCAAATCCTTGAAAATAAAGCCTAAAATAACACAAAAAGCAGAACAAATATGTTAAGCCCAACTAATACCTATAATACATCAAATTTCATTGTTTTGGACAAAAATGGCCATAGATAGCTTTTTCAATATAGATGGTGGTTTTGAGATGTTTCATAAAAACAGGCCACAAAATGAGCTCACTCCCTTTCAGCCAGACAAGCTAAACATCAGATATTACAGAATGATTTCATTTACCTGCTCAGGCTCTATTGCCTCCAAGGCAACCAGAACCAGGGTGTGGTTGTTGTGGGGGAATGTTATCTCAGCGTTGGGGACACAGCTGTGATTACCTGGTGGAATAGCATAGTCGTTAGGTGTGTCGCTCCCTCTAAGCAAGTTTTATATTGATTTGAGAGAGACTCTTTAATTTTAAACCAGTTACTACAGCCAGCCCTGAGAAAACATTTGCAGATGTACAGAAGAATAACTTGTTTTGCCAGTGTCTCATGGATAAGCATGTCAGTAAACTGGTAAGGCAAGAAACACCCATCAGGCCTGTTCAGTGAGCTCTTCTGTTCAGTATTATTTGAAGGTGTCTGTATGGTAGACAAACTCTTAGTCTCTGATTATATATACAATATATGTGAAGGATCAAAACCGACTCCGAGGTTTTGATCCAACTTATGAACCGACTGAAGATATACTTTAGATATAATTTAAAAAGTATGTATTTACTGTTGAAATCAACAGGGATGCGACAAGCAGTCGATACCTTGACTTGCATGCGCAATGCAGGTGCTCTGCATGCGCTACCCGTGTCCTGCACATGCACTGCTCGCACTACCCGTCTTGTGAGGAACACACGGTTCATGCTGACAAACAATAACCTACTTCACAACGATCCTTCATAGCTTAGTGGATAAAACCACCAAGCAAGTAAGCGAAGGGTTTCAGGTTCGAAACCAGGCATCGGCACAATGTCTTGGAAGTTTTCAATAATGTGATATTTTATTATCGTATTCAAACCTTGTGCAAGTAAAATAATTCAAAGTCAAGGGCAATTCCTCAGAAAGTCTGCGGGCAATTCTGAAGAAAATCCCCGGGATTTCTTGGAGAAGGCCTGCGAAACTGCCTGTAGAGGTGTGCTCGGTTAAAGGTCACATGCAACGTAAAACACAACTTTGCAGATTCTGATACCTTTCGGTATGGACTTACCGAAACAAATCATCAAAAATGCAAATTCAACTTATAAAGTTGAAAAATAACGCAATGAAAAAAACCGCGCGAAATCGGAGTTCAAATGATTCACTAATTTTCCCCCGACTTTTCGGGGGAAAACTGGTTTCAACAGCTGGGCTGCGCTCATAGCACTTGTGCAGTGAAATAGGTTCGCGCAACTTGGAAGCGGGCTGTCCGGTGAATACTCGGTGAAGGCTTTGGTGTGAGCTATTTTCCTAATGTTTTGTTGATATCTCACAGGCGCGAGCTTTTTATATGTTATGAAAGTAAATAAACTGTTTGTATAATTTCATTTGTCTATTTCACCACACGTTCTTCTTACCGAGTCACTTTCTCAGTTCGATACTTAAAAGCAATGTCATTATTTAGCGTTGACAGAATTTCTAACTGTGATATAGATATGTCGTTGTCACAGACAAAACTCAATGTCTTGTTTTATTGACACCTGTGTGTCTGCCTGCCTGTCTGCCTGTCTGCCTGCCTGTCTGCCTGTCTGCCTGTCTGCTAATGACAATATTCAATACACAACTGCGATCACTGACCACATGCAATTTGAACTTAACACCAATCAGGCTATACACCATAAACAAAATGCATTGATTTATGGCCCGAGTTCGGTCTCTGTCACATTATGTAATTACACAGACAGGCAGGTGGGATACTTGAACACATGACATGTTATGATGTCTGTTGATTGCAAAATGTTATACACAAAAAATGAGCATGTATTTACAAAACCGAACATCTCTATATATACACACACAATGAGCCGTGAGGGCAGCATATGCTAATGAACCAGCCGTTACACTTGAGTGCACACCCACCCGCTCTGACTGGGTTCGGCATCCCGGCTGCTTCGTTTCTTGGGAAGTAAACCCAAGTACACAATATTGCACTTTTGATTTGTGATTGTACGCTTATAATTTTGTTTATATGTTTTTCATAACCAGCAATGTATATTATATGTCATGAATAAGTGATAATTGTGTTTTAATTATGTTTGATTTTTTGGTTGCATGTGACCTTTAAAGGAGAACCTGGTGACTCAATAGAGTGATGTCACTGGAGGTTTATAAGAAAATAAATAATTAAATTTAAATTGAAAAGTAGTCCCAGTGAGAATCCTGAACCTTAGGAAATGTAGACATACTTCATTTAGGGCTTTAGCATTGCAGAAAGGACATGTTGAAATAAATAATGTGGTTCAGGGACAGTGAGACAGCTATCTGTATAGCAAGGCAGGGGTATAAGTCCTTGATACAGGGTTTCTTTCTTTCAATGAATACAACAACAATGAAGAATGAGGACTACTTCTATGGATGTTAGCTTCTTTATTCTGTGTTGTGACTGCCACATCTCCATGTAGACTACGTATGACTTCTTTGATTGGTTATCTAGAAGTTGCGTAGATGGAGAATATGGTTGTATATCCATAAAAATAGTCGTCATTCTTCATCTACCCAACTTCTAGAATGCCAATCAAAGAAGAACAACATTCAATGTTTAAAATCGCATAGAAAAATAGTGATTGATATTACGACCAACAATCAACGCTATCTGTTCAGTATCATGAGTCTCTTATTCGGCCATCCATATTTTTTTATGTTTCTTGGCTCTAGTTTCAACCAGCAAGAGAGATGTTTGTTGCTTAATGCCACACTCAGCAAAGTTACAGATCTGAATGCCAGCATACAAATAAATTAAAAAACTGAGAAAAAAATACAGTGATTGATATGATGAACAACAACCCATGCTATCTGTGTAATATCCCAACACGAGCTGAATTCGACGTTCTGGTGATTTCGACGATTGCATTTCTCGCGCTATATCGGGTGAGTATGTGTGCGATCGGAGTGCACAAACAGTTTCACTGGTAGGGCGGGTGCCAGTCGCTGTCGTGAGAAGTTTTATTGACAATGGAAATCGGGAAGTAAAGTTATATAAATAGCAAATAAACATCAATATTATTTACCCGAGATCGTTAATACCACTTCAGATGCAAAATCAGTTGCCTTTATAACAAAAAATAGCAAGCGAAAATTCAGTAAGATCAGTCGTCTGCTGGTGACAGGCAATATATAAATAGGAAGCCACGTGATCACAACACTCCCTCGCAGTGCGGAGCAAAAAGTATGGCTCATCGTCGAAAACCCATACAAAATACCCGGATGTTACCATACAAAATACCCGGATGTTACGAGCGGCAACAGTTCGCCGATACGATGTCATCAACGCTATTTATGTAGGAAACACTTGATATGTTTGTGTGAAATAGATGAATTTATCCTTTATCAGTTGAGGTTGGTAAAATAAAAACTTTAAATGATATTACAGATAAAAATTACGTTTTTGTCTTACATCGTCGAAAACCCCTGACACTGGGATATTATATGTCTCTTGTTATCAAAGTGTCTCTATGTGTGATAGCAATGGAATGGCATAACTTCTTATCACATTGGTCAAATTTGATTGTTGTTCAGCTTTGCACTCAGCAATGTTCCAGCTTAAAATATCAGCCTATAATTAATATAATAAACAATAGACCAGGATAAAACAGTGATTGATATTAAGAACAACAATGCAAACTATCTGGGTACAGTAACAATCAGCCCGGTCACAGAGCCTGACCACCTGATCAAAATATCCCATAAATTGTAGTCAGGCAGATTACACAGAGTTATCTCCCTTCCCTTATTGGGAATCTCTCGTTGACTAGTTGTTATTGTCTGGTGCTAAATTTTAATAATATGTATTACATCTGTTTATTTCAGTTATTACTGTATGCCAATGGGCATAATTCTGTATATTCATGTATGGTGGTACATAGCATTGGATTATGAACATTTAGTTAAAACTATAAAGACATTGTTAATTTAATTATAAATTGTTGTAATCTGTCAATGACTAAAGTTTACCAAAACAGTGTATGTTTTGAAGATTTGTTATAACAGGAATCTGTACAAGACGTACAAGGGGAATTAAAATACGACTATAGCACAGTTTGCAACATATTAGAAAATACAGTGTACTCTTGTCAATACCGGCATCACTCTAGACCAAATAAAAAAGCCGTTTTGACAGAGTGCTGGTTTAGGCAGGTTGCAAGTTCGCTTATGACAACGGCGCACACGGGAAGTTCACTGTTGTACTGTCACGTTAGCATTAACAACATGTTTGAATAAGAAACAAGGCAGTGTCTGAATGCACATTCATGTTTATTCGTTCAAATAAAAACAAGGTATATTTTGTTTACTTTGTGAAAAAGTCACTGATCTTATTTTGTCTTTTGTGTGCCGATGCCTCGAGTGCACTGTCCTCAGCTGCACTTTCTAAGTTCTGCACATGATACAGAAGACATGTTTCCTGATCCAACCAATCACGATACAGGGCTGAATAATCTCGGGAGTAACCGCGAATCGTGTTGTTACATCATATGATTTTACCTTAAATACCCTCGAATCAACTACATGTAAACTCTTGCTCGTTTTTACAGTCAAACTGCCCACTATTAATTACTCTATGTAAGTGACACGTATCACTCACTAATTAACAAGAAACTGATTGACACTTCCCATTTCTGAATAATCTCGTAAGTAACCGCGAATTGTGTTGTTACATCATTTGGACCTAACTGCATCAAAGGGTTGCGCCGTCCTTCATGTGCCGGTTTTTACAGATTCGTTTTCTTAACAACTTGTTCTTTGGGACTGAAAAACAATGCCGATATCCTGAGTAGACAGATGCCGATGTTTGCAGATGTTTCTAAATGATAATTAAGTGCATTTCTGCCGGGACTGAAACTTTGTGCCAATGTAGACAGAGTGCCGGTGTTTACAGAGGCCGATATTGCCAGAGGCCACTAATTGTCAAGAAAACTGTGGCTGATCTAAGATAGATGACTTACATGTGCTTTGTAATTTGTAAAGTCCGGACCCTTCAACATTGAGGAACATTCCAGCCACTGTAAAATATGAATGAAACTGTATAAATAACATAGTGTTCATAAAAGGCTTGAGCCACCAAATCTTAACAGAATGATTTATGGAACTTTAAAGGTATAAATATAAACCAAGTGTACTTACAAACAGAAATATTGCTAATTTTTCATTTATTTCAATATCATTATATTTTTGTACATCCAACAACACTCTCTAAATGGTTCCCCCAAAATTGCACAAAACAATTTTTATGCCTAACGTATGATATTAATGATACAGAAATACACACACATAAGAACTATTTATATTTCTGTGGGGCGGCCTGGTAGCCTAGTGATTAAAGCATTTGCTCGTCACGCCAAAGACCGGGTTTGATTCCCCACATGGGTACAATGTGTGAAGCCCATTTCTGGTGTCCCCTGCCGTGATATTGCTGGAATATTGTTAAAAGCTGTGTAAAACCCAACTCAATGACTCACTATATTTCTGAGATGCACCATGTACACAAAATATTCAGAAATAGTGACATATGTTCCCTTCACTCTCATGTATCTAGTGTATTAAATCTCCATTCTGCTGGGATAGAAACCCTGTCCTCTTGGAGGATCCACACCTCTAACCCTCTCTGTTAATTCAGATTGCACTTGCACTCAGGAGAGGAGTGGAGTGGAGCAGAGCCGGAGAATCCACGCCTCTAACACTTCTGTTAAATCAGATTGCACTTGTACTCATGAGAGAGGGAGCAGTGGGAGGCGGAGGAAGTGGAGTGTGGAGGAGTGGGGAGCGGAGTGGAGGAGTGGGAGTGGAGTGGAGGGAGTGGAGGGAGGTGAGTGGAGGGAGTGGAGTGGAGTGGAGGGAGAATTCATGCCTCTAACACTCTCTGTTAAATCAGATTGCACTTGTACTCATGAGCGGATTGGAGTGGAGTGGAGTGGAGTATTATATCACTTTTAGCAATATTCTCGCAATATCATGGCTTAAAACACCAGAAATGGGCTTCATACCTTGTACCCATATGGGGAATCAAACCTGGGTCATCAGCGTGATGGGTGAATGCTTTATCCACTTGGCTACCCTCCCAGACTTACAGTAAGGAGAAATAATACACTGGATAACTAAGGATGCCACTTCCTGCATCAGCATCATTTCATAAATGGCCAAAGTCATGTAACAGGTATTTGATGTCAAGAGTGGTGAAAGCAAAGCACCCTTTTTTAAAGGTATGTTTCACCGACTACTGACTGGTGAGGTGTACGACTGTTGTATTTTATGTTGGGTACTGACCTCGGTCCAGTTGTTCGTACAGCTGATCAATGTACTCTTCCATCTTCTCCTTCTCGTCTGCGGAGTGGTCCAGCGCCTCGCAGTTCCTCACCCACACGCTGATTGAACTGCGAACCACAAACACAATGTCTCCTCGTCATGTAGTAGATACCTTAAGCACAGTCGTCATTTAGAATGGTGGGGTGGTGGTTTAGAAGAATAGTATAGTGGATTAGAAGGGTAGGGTGGTGGTTTAGAAGGGTAGGGTGGTGGACTGGAAGAGGTGAGGTGAGGTGAAATTGGGTTTTACGTTGTACTTAAGATTATTTTGCTCATATGGTGACTTGCATATGTGTGTATGTGTGGCTGCTTGTACTAGCCCAGACTTAAGCTTTTTTTATAGTGCCAGCTCACTGAGATACCATGCCGCAGTTAAGCTGGAATACCCCACTCAGACACATTAGACTGACTCCGAGCCGACCAGTCCTTGTTGTACCCATTAATGCCGAGCACCAGGCAGGGACCAACAAGTACCATATTTTAACGTCTATTGGTATGATGCAGTCGGGGATCGAACTCGCAACCTTCCGCTATCCGGGCAGACGCTCTAACCTCTACACCACGGAGGCGGACTGGGAGAGTGCTGTGCTGGCATAGAGGTGTGGGGTGGTGGATTAGAAGTGTTTGTTTGGTGTTTAACGCTGCAATATTCCAGCCATATGGCAGCGGTCTGAAAATAATCGAGTCTGGACCAGATAATCCAGTGATCAACAGCATCAGCATTGATCTACGCAACTGGGATATGATGACATGTGTCAACCAAGTCAGTGAGCCTGACCACCCGATCCCATTAGTCGTCTCTTACGACAAGCATGGGTTACTGAAGACCAATTCTTACCCGGATCTTCACGGGTAGGATTTTTAGAAGTGTGGGGTAGTGGAGTAGAAGGGTGGGGTACAGTCATGTATTGTGGATTATCAATACGTATATGTCTTATGCAGCTTGTTTTATCTCTAATATATATTTCCTATCAAGAGTTTAGACTCACTAGTGTAAACATAGCCACTTACTTCAGGCACCTGTTCTTCATATTCCATACTGTTTAAAGGTACTGTTTACACATGAACAGATGTATTGTAAAACAAATTCGTAACGTTGTAAAGATTATTGTCATGAGTTCAATAAATGATAAAAATCAGTGAAAATTGGCAAATTCTTAACAAAACTTTACACCAAAACGCAGCTGTTCACATGCACGATATTTGCAGATGCTTTTCAGCAATTTGATGCATGATCCTCGTGCAATTCATCTGCATAAGGTTTGCAGTTGGTTCCCCCAAGTTAGTTGAGAAATTAATCTTCGATGTAACCATATATATATAAATAACATATAGTGAGTGTTTTAAGTGAGTCTAAACTTTTGAAAGGAAGTATAGATATACAATTATACTTTTATTGCATTGAGGTACATATTCAAAACCAGATCACATTCAAATAACCTACACCATTATCATATCAAAACATGGGTAGACTGCCGTGTTTGGGACCGCAAACACAAACAGTGTTATGGAAGTTGTTGCTCAAAACATATCCAAGTTTTTGACTATTTCTGAATACTTTAAAAATATAATCAGTGCTGGGGGTTGTTAATAAACAAATATATATGATAGCATTAAAAGGTTTAGGTTTATTTTTAAAGACTGAGGAAGCCTTATCACGAAGAGAACGTTTAGTCCTCACTCACCTGCTGCCGACGCCTTGGCCATTTCTCCCTATGAGGGCAAACAGAGACTTGAACCCCTCCGGTGTGAACCACTGGAACAGAGCAGGAAACACCACTGAAAGTTTATTATGACATTTAAGGGATCTCTAAGCTCTAGTACCAGAGAGATGTTATAGTGCCTCTGCCAGCGGCAACCTGCAATGTGATGTTTAGTCACAACATACACAGTCCATTGTTGCATAAGTTTTTCTTCGGCATTATTTTTGATAAGTCCAAAAATCAAGATAACCACATGATAATGATGTTATCTCTACATTTGAGGAGTATGAGAATGTCTAACTTTGATTGATAATATGCCCTTAAACTATTTCCACTTGCATTGTTATCTTTTATATTGGTTGTACAGTTATTATTATTATTATTATGTTTTACAGATTAAAGATGAAAATGCAGCAGAGAGGGTTTGGGTGATCCTGGCACAGTCAGAAGCAGCGAGCCATGCCATCATGTCGTTTAAGATATGCTGTTTGTGCCAAGGAAGGGCATCCACTGACAAGGTGTTGGACAGTCTCTGTAAATTCATTACATAGTCGACATTTCATATTGATATTTTCTTTAAGAATCACATTTTGGCGATTACAGTGGGAAGTGACTGGTCCTGAGCAGCAAAAAGGAAGCCCTCAGTTTCACATTTAAGACCAGCCGACTTCATCCAGGCAAAGGAGTCAATGGGATTGCTATTCTGTTCCACACACTGCATGTACACACGATGCAATGGTTTCTCAGAAAGCTTCTCCACAAAAGACCGACTCTGGGCAGACTTGGTGAAGGACTTCACCTGGTTTGCTCCCATCGCTGTACCGTCCAGCAGTACATCGCCATCAACAAAATCAACCTCATATTTCTGATTCTGTCCAACAACCTTGGCAGGCTTAAAATAGCTGTGGAATTGCTTGCTTTCATCATGAGTCTTGACATGCATCACCAGAGGATCATCCGATAAATAAATATGTGCAAAAGTACACAATAAAATTCTATCATGAAGAGCCTCCACATTAATCAAACCCCAACCTCCAGAATTGATTGTCATATATAAACGGTTAAGAGAGAAACGTGGGTTGTGGGCTCTGTTATCAGACATGATCCTTCTGGTCAGGCGGTCAAGACTCTGGATGTCTTGGGATGGTAACCCTCCTCTCTGTTGAGCAGAAAGCTCAAAGGATTTAGGGACGCAAAGGACTGAAGGAGTCCCCCTGGAAAATTCCCCTTCTGATTGGAATAGATTCCAAAGTCTGCACCTGCCCTTGCGCTTGAGAGTACATCTCAAGTTGAGTCGACCAGCAACTCATTAAAGACTTGAGTAAATCAAAGAGTCGCTCTGGGAGGTCAATACAATGAAGAGACTTCAGAATCCATTCATGAGGGACAGAGTTGTATGCTTTTTTTGTAGTCAATCCAGCACATGGAGAGGTTGCGGTGATATGTTTTAGCCTCTTCCAAAATCATTTTCTGTACAAGAAGTTGATCCTTGCACCCCCAACAACCCTTTCTTGCTCCCTTCTGCTCTCTGTAAATTATTTCATTAGCAGAGCAGTATGATGACACGAGGTTTGTCAAACACCCTGTGAATAATTTGTATTGTGTATTCAAACATGTGATTGGGCGGAAGTTTTTGGGATCAGTCAAGTCTCCTTTTTTGGGAAGGAGTATTGTGCGACCTTTGCAGAACCATGGAGGAACATCACCTGTGTCCACGAGAGAATTGAAACAGTGAAGTAATGGTGTTTGGACACAGGGAAATAGTTTCCAGTACCGGTTTCGAATGCCATCAGGCCCTGGAGCTGTATTAGATTTGGACTTTTTTATAACACTTTTCAGGCAATCTGGTGAGATGTAGCAGACAAACGACCTAGTTATTTTCTCATGCATTGCATGGTCATAATCACGGACCCATGGTGCCTCAAGGTTACAGTTGCCGGGTACAGACCACAACTGTTTCCAGAACCTCTCATTGGCATCCATGGGAGGCCGCTTATCATGCTCACCATCACCGTTTGTTTCAGTTGCCTGTAGAAGTGTTTTTCATTATTTCTAAAAAGTTTATTTTGTTTGATGAATTTAATTTTCTTTTCCCATTTTTTTTCTCTCAGTCCAAACCTTTATTTTTGCCTTAAGGGAATGGACAATTTGGAGAAGTAGCTTTCTTTGGTTGTCTTATACTGTAATTTTAATTTTCTCCAAATTGACTTTTGTCGTTTAGACATGGGATTGCCTGATGATCTTATTTTAAGGCACAGCTCTATCCAGGAAATGTATTTTCTAGTTTCCGTCAGTTTTACTTGAAACCAGTTTTTTTGGTGTATTGTTCTTAGTATTAGATGAGTTTTCATTGGAAACCGTGTGAAGTTCCTCCAAGGTTCGAGCGGCAGCATAGACACAGCAATTAACTTCATGTAATGAACAGTCCGCAGAAAGTGTCATAGAAATAATGTCATTTAATAAATTAATTTCATTTTTGGGAAAAGATTCACTTGTTTGTTTGATTGGCCTCCGTTTTTCTAAAGGTATGTCAGATATTTCATCATAAATAAAATGAAACAAAACATCCACAGGATTTTCAGGAAGATCTGCAACTGAGGAAGAGGGAGAGTGAGGGTCCGAAATTCCGGGGCCAATTGGCTCTGTACTAGAAGAGTTTCCATCAGGAAGAGGAGAGAGGTTAGCGCGGACGTCCATCAGAAGTTTTGGGTCTGCTGCCACTTGAGCATTCTGCTCATGCAAAGGTTCCTGACGGGCTACACGGGGCATGAGATTTTTAAGCCGCGGGAATTGATCTCGGAGATTTTGCTCCGTTAGGAAAGCATACATGGGCATGGCATTGTCCCAATGCAGCTTAAGCAACTTGCCATTGATGCATGGATTTGCAGGCCAGCCTGTTGCTCTCACACACTCAAGTAGTGTGGTGTTAAGATGGTTTGACCAAGATATTCTTGGCCGGGTTCTGTGCCTTCCCTGGGGCAAGTCCCATCTCCAGTGTGGTTGGTTTCACTACCGGAGGAAGGCTGACTGGGCTGAGGAGTTAAAAGATGGTTTGCTCCTTGTTTGTCTGTAACCCAGCAAGAAAACCAGCTTCGGGGGGTCAGCCCTAACTGGGTGATGTATCGTTTAGTTCAGGGAATAAAATTCCCCTATCTAGGCCCACCACGGAGAGGCGTACATCATCAAGTCCTTAATATTATTATTTATACTATTATTATTATAGGATATTTATATAGCGCACATATCCAGGCAACTAGTGCATGCTCAAGGCGCTGGTATTTTTTCCCTCGATCATTGGATGTCAAACTCAACAGCACATCGTATTATCAATCTCAACTCCCTGGGGAGTATACAACTCTTGCAGCCACTAGGCGCACAGAGTTATTGTGGCTTTCACATCCTAACAAGGTACACATGGTGGACTGGGACACATAGTCACAGTACTTTGTCCAAGATCACTGCACATTGCTGTACTCGCAACTAGGTGTTTGCACGTATTCATGTGGCCACCATCTGGTCATATACCAACGGATTTGTGGGTTCTTTTAAGTGTACAGGGTTGTGTTCTGTACACTAGGGGTTGTGACAAAGCTGAAAGAGTCTGAACACAAAGTCGACTCCAAGGTTTTTACACCCGGTCACAGGTGGGCTCGATCCCGACACCTCAACCTCACCGGATCCTGTCATCATGGCCCTATGAAGACCTAGCAATAGGGTCACTTTGATTAATAGATGCAGGGTTTTACCGTGACTCATAAATATTGCAGTAACATGGACCCCTAGTCATTAGTTTTAAAGGTCCTTGCAGGCAATATGAGGGTCCTATGAAGTAACAATTTAGAGAACTGTATGTTCAAATAATTTCTTTAGAGCTTGGAATGAATCATTGAAATGATGCAAGTAACTGCTCTGAAAGAAACAACCAAACACTTAGCAAAGTCATAGATGTGTTGAAGGTACAGTGAATAATATTGTGAGTCCCTCTGGACGCAGTCAATTATTTTTCAGTGTCCATTCTCTACATTTGTGCGTACTTGACGCACATTTGCACGTCATGTAAAAACCCTGTAGATATATATTGTCATGCACCTATATTGAAGCAGCATATCTATATAATTATGCAAAACAATATGAAAAGCCTATTGAAAGCCTTGCATAAGGATGGTCTTATTATTTCAGAAAATGCGAGTTTGTTTACAAACAATAGACACTCACCTGCTGTACTAGACACTCAATTGTTGTGCTAGACATTCACCTGCTGTACTAGACACTCACCTGTTGTGTTAGACTCTCACATGTTGTGCTAGACATTCACCTGCTGTACTAGACACTCACCTGTTGTGCTAGACATTCACCTGCTGTACTAGACACTCACCTGTTGTACTAGACATTCACCTGTTGTACTAGACACTCACCTGTTGTGCTAGACATTCACCTGCTGTACTAGACACTCACCTGTTGTGCTAGACATTCACCTGCTGTACTAGACACTCACCTGTTGTACTAGACACTCACCTGTTGTGCTAGACATTCACCTGCTGTACTAGACACTCACTGTTGTGCTAGACATTCACCTGCTGTACTAGACACTCACATGTTGTGCTCACTAGACACTCACTTGATGTGCTAGACATTCACCTGCTGTACTAGACACTCACCTGTTGTGCTAGACATTCACCTGCTGTACTAGACACTCACCTGCTGTACTAGACACTCACCTGTTGTGCTAGACATTCACCTGCTGTACTAGATACTCACCTGCTGTACTAGACACTCACCTGTTGTGCTGCTTCCTCATACAATGCTTCAGATGTGAGTCTCCACAGCAACTCCAAAGGATCCTGAGTCAACACACAACATTCACACTAAGTGGATACATTTCTGACACTGAATCATTCAACATTATGCACCTGTGATAAAATGCTAAGAACCCATATGACAATCAAAACCTTTTGCTGATGTATGTTGTATCAAAGTGATTTACTAAATTTTACACATTTATTAGCCTCAAATAGTGTCAGCAGTGTCCAAAAGCCAGTGGTGTGTGTTCATATTTTCAGTCAGTTATATGCCTGATGTTGGCAAGTGGCTACCACAAACCTTGGAACCGGTGAAGATCAGGGTTAGGTTTGGTCATATGCTTGTCTTATGCTTGTCATAAGAGGCGACGGACAGGATTGTGTGGTCAGACTTGTTGACTAGGTTGATACACGATGAACATAGAGATTTTTTCTGGGTTACATCTTCTTTTTATTCTCGAGTACAACGTTTCAGGGCTTGTTCTGGCCCCATCATCAGGTAAAAACTGAACAGTAACTGTTAACTCTGGCCGTGACGTCACAATGCTTATGACGTCACAATGCTATGACGACGCAATACATGAGGTGGTCAATAGATACAGATGACATGGCTAATAGAATACATGTTATTATGAATATATAAGATGTCTTTTACTGCAAAATTAATGGATCAATTTAGAACTGTGCAGATACTTATACAAAATTGTTGATTGATTTAGAAATGTATAGAGACGTATTTATAAATGTATAGAATGGAAAGTAATAGCAGTGTATACATAGAAATTATGCTTTATACATGGGAACAGTGACGAGGGTAGGGTATATGTATATACATGTCATCATATACCAATTGCATAGATCGGTGCTCATGCTGTTGATCACCGGATTGTCTGATCAAGACTACATTATTCACAGACCGCCGCCATATAGCTGGAATATTGCTGAGTGCGGCAGTTGAACAACAAACAAACAAACAACAACAAACAAACAACAACAAAGCACACACCTGGAACTGCTCCCCTAGCAGCTTGTGTACTATCTGCTCCTCTTCGTTAACTGTGCTCTGCACAAATGAGGAGAACAAACCCAGAACTGCATCTTTGTCTTCAGCCTGAGGATCAAGAAATAATAATGATATACTCACGTTCTGTAACCATGCTTACAATGACACCAATACTTTCATCTGAAGGTGAACTAGGTGTTCCAAACAGATGACATGACATAATATATGAACAACTTTAACTGATGTCCTTTTAACCATCAGATAAGAATTTTGGATAGAACTGCATCAACTGCATCGCCAAACTGCATCAGTGGGATGAAGGGAGTCTTTTGGCCAGGACTTTCAACAGAACTTTATATGAGTGAATGAGTGAGTTTAGTTTTACGCCGCACTTAGCAATATTCCAGCTATATGGCGACAGTTTGTAAATAATTGAGTCTGGACCAGACAATCCACTGATCAACAGAATGAGCATCGATCTGCACAATGGGGAACACGATGACATGTGTAAACCAAGTCAGCCAGCCTGACCACCCGATCCTGTTGTCATTCATATCAGAAAACTGTTATTTTACTGGACTGAAATGTTACTGCCAAAATGAAAGTGATCCTAGTGGATCTGTTACCTACTTGTTTGACTGTGGCAATCATTTTGGCTAGCAACATTACTGTGGCTGTCTCTGGGGGAAAGTGGATATTCCTGAAACAGATCACACAGACAACAATTTAAACATAGACCATGTTGACGGAAGGATCTCTACACACATATCTATCAGCCCTGGAATTATCATTGCTCTCATGCACAGACTGCATTCAATGCATTGCATTGGTAATCATTTTGATTTTATTCAGCATCTCATAACCGTAGCAGTAATTATGTTTTTGTAAAGCAGATGATAGTGTGTGGCATTAGCAGTTAAATTGGATAATAGTACGCAAGCAATTCAGATGAACGATTTACTGGTTTACCTGACGTATGGATGGGGTATGTGCACCAGATGTTGGTGTGGTGAATGTACCTGGTGTGACTGTGGTGGGTGCACCTGATGAATGGTTGAGATAGGTATAGAGATAGGTACACCTTATGTGTACACCTGTGTGTGGTACACCTGGTGGGACTGTGGTGGGTGCACCTGATGAATGGTTGAGATAGGTACACCTTATGTGTGCTCCGGGTACACCTGGTGTGACTGTGGTGGGTGCACCTGATGAATGGTTGAGATAGGTACACCTTATGTGTGCTCCGGGTACACCTGGTGTGGTGGGTGCACCTGATGAATGGTGGATAGGTACACCTTATGTGCACCTGATGACCTGATGAATGGTTGAGATAGGTACACCTTATGTGTACACCTGGTGTGACTGTGGTGGGTGCACCTGATGAATGGTTGAGATAGGTACACCTTATGTGTGCTCCGGGTACACCTGGTGTGACTGTGGTGGGTGCACCTGATGAATGGATGAGATAGGTACACACTTATGTGTGTCGTGTGTCCGGGTACACCTGGTGGGTGATGGGTGCACCTGGGTGCACCTGATGAATGGATGAATGAGATAGGTACACCTTATGTGTGCTCGGGTACACCTGGTGTGGCTGTGGTGGGTGCACCTGATGAATGGATGTGATGGGAGATGCACCACCTGATGAATGGTTGAGATAGGTACACCTTATGTGTGCTCGGGTACACCTTGGAGTGCACCTGATGTGGATGTGATAGGGTGCACACTGATGAATGGTTGGAGATAGAATGGTACACCTTATGTGTGCTCCGGGTACACCTGGTGTGGATGTGGTGGGTGCACCTGATGAATGGTTGAGATAGGTACACCTTATGTGTGGTCCGGGTACACCTGGTGTGGCTGTGGTGGGTGCACCTGATGAATGGTTGAGATAGGTACACCTTATGTGTGCTCCGGGTACACCTGGTGTGACTGTGGTGGGTGCACCTGATGAATGGTTGAGATAGGTACACCTTATGTGTGGGTGCACCTGATGAATGGTTGAGATAGGTACACCTGGTGTCTGGGTACTGGTGTGACCTGTGGTGGGTGCACCTGATGAATGGTTGAGATAGGTACACCTGGTGTGGATGTGTGGTCGGGTACACCTGTGTGACTGTGGTGGTTGAGTGGTACACTGTGCTCCGGTACACCTGGTGTGACCTGATGAATGGTTGAGATAGGTACACCTTATGTGTGCTCGGGTACACCTGGTGTGGACCTGGATGAATGTGAGATGCACCTGATGAAATGGTTGAGATAGGTACACCTTGTGGATGTGTGGGTGCACCTGATGAATGGTTGGTAGGTACACACACCTGGTGTGACTGTGGTGGGTGCACCTGATGAATGGTTGAGATAGGTACACCTTATGTGTGTACACCTGGTGTGACTGTGGTGGGTGCACCTGATGAATGGTTGAGATAGGTACACCTTATGTGTGTTTCGGGTACACCTGGTGTGGCTGTGGTGGGTGCACCTGATGAATGGATGTGATGGGTGCACCTGATGAATGGTTGAGATAGGTACTGATGAATGGTGTGAGTGGTAGTGCACCTGACACCTTATGTGTGCTCCGGTACACCTGGTGTGGGTGCACCTGTGGTGGATAGGTGCACCTGATGAATGGAATGGATGAGATAGATATGTGTGCTACACCACCTTAATGGTTGAGATAGGTACACCTTATGTGTGTCGGTACACCTGGTGTGACTGTGATGGGTGCACCTGATGAATGGATGGGTACACCTTATGTGTGTGATGGGTGATGAATGGTGAGTGGGTGCACCTGACATATGGACTGGGTGTGTCGCCTGATGTGTATGTGTGGTGAGTAGATACACTTGACTAAAGGTTTGGGTTGTGCTCACCTCCAGGCTTCAAGGAGTCTGTTTATAGGGTGGTCTTGGTCTTCCTTGGACATCCCGAGACACAGAACACGATGGTACTGGGCCCAGGCTGCATCCCGACACTGTGCACTGCAGTATTCTATCTGCAGAACATCACACAATAACATATACATCATGGGAACACACGGAACACAGATAGAACACTTAGAAGCTGAAGAACAATTAAGGTCTGATACATTTGTCCAGTAAACATTAAGAGATATCTTTTGAAGGAGTAACTCACCATAATCACTACCAAAAACTAAACATGTTTACTAACTTGGAAATTATCTGGTAATTATTTTAATTATTTGCAAAATGAAAAAAACGTCACCTTGGACATTTAAGGAATCAAAGAATTGGTACGACGATGATAGTTCATGGCTGCTCAATGATAATCAAAGTAATAAATTTGATCCTAAAAGAGAAACCAATTTGGGCTTAACACCACTACTATCAGTGGTTTTAAGGCACATCACAACATTATAAGATCAGAGGCCCAGATAAGCTGCGTATCCGGGTAAAATACGCATAAAAAATTTCCATTTACGCATTGAAAAATAATTGTTGCGTACCAATTACACATTTAAAATGTTAGATATGAAAAAAGTTTAAAACAAATGCATACGGAATACATTTATAAAAATCGCTTGCACAATGAAAAAGACATCGATTGCTATCAAGTTGTACTGTTCGTATAGGACTAGTGTTGTACTGTCAGTATAGGATGACAGATTTTTTATGAAATCATTTCCATTATATTTAAGTTGGTTTTGATTAGGTATGACATAAGGCAGGACATACCTGCTTAGTAAACTTACTCAATGACACCATACTTAGGTGAGTAAGATGACTGAAATATGCACATATTTGAAAATTGTGGGTAACGGAAAATGAAATACCCACTCAACATTCATAATACCCACTCCAAAAAAATACAGTGGGTACAGTACCCACATCAGCTAAATCTTATCTGGAGCTCTGTAAGATCATGGCCAAAGTGAAACAGGTTATGAGTGAGTGAATTGTGTTTTTGCAGCATTGAATTGTATTTCAGTTATGCTCGGTATATATAGGGAAGGGCCTAAGTACTTAAGTCTCTTTCTTGGTAAAATCAATGAGCATAATTATGTATACAGAAACCTAAACCTAAAAACATAATCAAAGGGAATCTGGTTGATGAACTCACAATAATCATATTCATGATAACAGGTGATAGGCATATTTGAGGGATGCACAGTAGGTGAGTTTAGTTTAACGCCGCACACAGCAATATTCCAGCTATATGGCGGCTGGCTGTAAATAATCCAGTCTGGACCAGACAATAACTCTTCACAGAAAATTTGGAACTTTGATGACCCATATGTGATCCGAACAAGCAAAGAACAGTTACCACATGGGTGAAACCACCAAGCCACATAAATTCATGAAATAAACTGACCACACTGACAAAAGACATAAATTCATGGGTGTCTTTGAGCTGAATGACGAATGATAAGGATCAGAAAAAGAGACACAACTCTGCAGAGCGTCTTCCAGTACTCGGCACCCTGGGAAAAACAAAACAGCTGTGTGATAGAAGGATGGCAAAATGACTTGCCACAAGCCCAAACCAGGTCCATGGCAGATCATGTAAAGTGTCAGGGCAAAACTCAGACATGAAAGACAGAAATATCACATGCCGGAAATAAAGCAAACTAACCTGGCACTGAGGACACACGACATGGTTCTCTGGTTTGACTTCACAACACTCCGGGTGAGGGAGAATTATAGCTTTGTTTTCTGTAAGGCGTCGGCTGTTTTCTTCCGCCGTTTCCAATGCCTGCATGCAGAACTCACATGCCTTGTATTTATACAGTTCATTCCAGGCAAACTGACACGACACTAAGGGTTTTTCTTCGAATATGACATCACCTTTCTTGAAAGCTGTCTTTGAAAACACACCTTTGCCCTGAAAATTATGTACAAGGTAATAATGAGATGCGGTTTAGAATTGAACTTTGCAACGATTGTTTCACCTTCTCCGAGTACATCCACATTATGTCCACACATGAAGTTGCTTTTCTAAATCCTTTCAGTGCCTTGGAAAGATGTAGGTAAAATACTATACGATCATGATGATGTAGGAAAAACAATGTTTGAACATGTGGAACCATACTTTGTTTAATCAGTGTAATCATTGTCTTTGTTTGTCAGATTGGCAAAACCCATTTCATTTCCAGAAGAGTTTGTGGTAAAGTTTCAAAGTAGAGCAAAGTTACCTGAAGATTTGACAGTGTCATTAGTATCACGTAAAACCTTTCGCTGCATGCATTGTTCAATATTCATTTTAGTAAGGTGAAATGTAAAACATGGTACAATCAACACAGCTCTACAGCAGAGCTCCAGATAAGATTTAGCTCATGTGGGTACTGTACCCACTGTATTTTTTTTGAGTGGGTATTATGAATGTTGAGTGGGTATTTCATTTTCCGTTACCCACTGCTTTCAAATATGTGCTTATTTCAGTCATTTTACTCACCTAAGTATTATGTCATTGAGTAAGTTTACTAAGCAGGTATGTTCTGAGTTATGTCATACCTAATCAAAACCAACTTAAATATAATAGAAATGATTTCATAAAAATCACTCATCCTATACTGACAGTACAACACTTGTCCTATACTAACGATGCGACTTGATAGCAATCGATGTCTTTTTCATTCATGGCGATTTATATAAATATATTTAAATGCGCATTTGTTGTAAACATTTTCGCGTATCTAACATTTAAAATCGTGAATTGGTGCGCAAACAATTATTTTTCAATGCGTGGTTGGAAATTTTCTATGCGTATTTTACCCGGATACGCAGCCTATCTGGGCCTCTGCTACAGTATAATCAAGGTATGTTGTTTTCTTCGAAGCAGAGCATCCCTTCAGTCTTGTTGATCAGTTTGGTGTTTTTTGTAACATACAGCATGAAATAGTACAAAACAGACTAAATATTCTATTAGTTATATTAACTTATAACAAACTGCTTTAAGTCCTTACACTGACAGCCTTAATATGCTATATCTTGAGACAGAAGAATACAGGTGATGTGTCAGTGGCATATGTCATAAGACTGCTCACACTCTTCCTACTGAAACAAACTGCAGTGATAGTATAGCATTTCTTTGATTATTCAAGCTTTTTATTCCTTTTTTATGCGAAAACAAAACACTTGACATGAACTAGAATACAAAATGGGTGTTCCAAAATATGTGTATGATTTCCAGCTCTAGTTGAATTAAACTGATTAATCAAATTTCAAATAAATAAAGTTATGAATAGTGGTGGAATCAAAAACGGTGAAGACATTTCCAAGAGTAATACAACAGATATGTCAAACAAATTTCACCATAATCACTTTTAATGAATCAGTGCTACATGTGGATAACAGAAAGATCATTTGAAGCTAATTGGTAAAGGGTGATCACTTATGAGTAAAGACAATAAAACATACCAGGAAAATAAGTATGCAACATATAGTTTGGTCTAATGAAAACTCAGACTTCCTGCATTACTGTAACGTTTATTGATCAGATTGTTGACATAGCACTTTAACTAAATCACACCATCATGACCCCAGAGCTGACATTTATTCTATGTGTGTATAAAAAAATGAAAACAAGAACTTGAACAATATATGCCTGGAGAGTAGGAGATTTTGACAAGGCCAACATGTACGATATTTTAACAACAATCTTGATTTATTCGGTGATCATAAAGACTTGAAATGCACTTAGTTAACAGTCATGACAATGATGGGTAAGAGTTCCTCCCGTTCCCCCATCCCAAATAATATGTATAAATATTCTAGAATTATATACAAAACTTAACACAACAATTACTAGAGAACTCACAAAATGATTAAAAGTCCAACATTTAAGTTAGGGCTAGGTTTAGGGTTAGGTTTAGAGTTTGGTTTAGAGTTGGGGGAACGGAAGGAACTCTTTCCCAATGATGTAATTATTGCATACAAGCTTTGATTGGCTCCATTCTCACCTTTACAGCACAAATTTGTTTGACTTCCACGTTCCCTGCCATGGCAGTCGCCATTTTACCGGAAAGGAGCTTGGACCCGGAAGTGAACAGCAAGCGTATCTTCACACACGAAAGAGTTACAAAAAGTCCGGAGTGCCTGAGAGACACGTCAACCTCAAATTCATTTGATGTTTCTGTTAAAAAGTGTAAAAGAAGAAAATGTTCATGACACCAGAAAACGAGTCAACTGTCTATGTTTTCTTTACACTTATTTTTCTTTTCTTCTGCCTGCTGCTGGTGGCTCCACCGACCGAGTTTGTATCAGCAGGGATCACCATTCAAAACATTTTATCGAATTTCCTGGGCAGTGAGCAGATGAATTTTGTGTACTACCACATCAGAAGGACGACTGCCACACTTCTTGTACATTCCCTGTTTCCGCTTGGTAAGATTGTAGTCACAAGACTATCAAATGAGTACTTTGTTAACTGATAATTGATAAATAGTGACTGTAACATTCCCGTTGTGTTGTGAAGATCTTCCGTTTGTATTCAGGGTAAATCAGAATTACCAGTATCTGCCTACGAACTGTGTAAGGCTGGCTGTCGGTATAAATCATAGCGATCAATAAATGCAATCAAGTATTGATTGATTATCGATAAACATCGGAGGAACTTTGAGCAACGTTTGTCAAGAAACCTAAAAACAATTGACATATTTAATTTCACTGGTCAAGGGCAACACATTTATGAAAATGGATTACTGTCACAAACAACTTTCTGAACGTAAGTTAGAAGCGGCTTATGACTACAGACATAATTTTGTGAATTGTGTAAGTAAATTAAAACTACATAAAAGATTGTTTCAATATTGCCATCTGACTCTTAAGGATTCTTCATCAAAACTAAACTCACTTACTCTCTCATTCTGACAATATTCTTCATTTTGTTTCAGCTTACTACATCACCTTGGGTTTATTTTCACCTGAACTGGAACTATTCTATCCTTGGTTGATTGGCTGGAAAGGTCAGATATTCCTAGCATTCTCATTAATTCTCCCAACTGTGACAGGCCTGCTGTGTTTATTTTGGTATAGAGGCAAGTGGAATAACCACCCAATCTCCAGGCAGCTTTCATACCTCGTCAATGACTCTTCTTCAAGTTGGAGATCAGTTGCATCATCCATAGACGTTGAGTTTCGGAGGTTTGACAAATTCACAACTGGACCCTATGGGAGGAGACTTATTGTGACAGATGCATGGATCATGAAAACTTCCACGTACTTTGTGAATGTAGCTCATCAACAGGACATTCATCTCACATTGGCGGGGTCAGAGGAGCATGAGATATCCTATGAGAATACCATTCCATCACAATATCTGCACATTTCTGTGGGAGTTGTCAACCCACGTATTGGTTCATTTAATGTCAGGTAATTATTTTTATTTTCATACAGTCCCAATTATTAGTCAGAATATTTCCCAGTAACCAATGTTTGTTTCTACCTGGGGTTTCTAGGTCATAAAAGATCTGTGTCATCCTATGCTGGGCTATGTGTAAACTTGAATAATATACTTGCCTGAAAGTGATAACTTGAACTGTTATATCACAAGTCGTAATCAGGTTCATATATTTATTCAGCTTTCGTTATGGTATCTGCGTAGGGATAAGATGGCTGACTGTTGCATGTGATGTGCTTTACCTCCCTGAAATCTTTCTTGCACATGTACCAGATGACCCAAATCACCATTGCTGTAAACATGTATTTCGATTTATGCACCATTATTTTCCCCACTATAATATTGTCATGTTTCAAATGTTAGTCTTACTATTTTGTATAAACATGATAAATGACCTCACCACACTTTGTCAATCCAAATGGTGTTCTGTAACTATTAGTTTCAAGATGAATTCAAAACAGAGTTATCTTCTACCAGATTGTGCCAAATGTCTTAATGCCTACTTCTCTTCCATGCTAAGGCCAGACCAATTTTATTTCTTGTTCATATTTTTTCAAGAATAAGAAAAAAGAAGAAGTTAATTTTCCCTGCTCAAAAAATAAAATCCTAATGTTTTATTGGTCAAAAATGTAAATTTACAAGAATAGTGTTTCTAGATTGTGTTTTGCCCCATATACACTTCATAAATTTCCCCAAAGTAAAATATTTTCAGTGTTTATTTTTTTTACTCCTGAAGACAAAAATCCGTAAAGCAAGAAATAAAATTGGTCTGGCCTAATCAGCAGGAGGAAACTGCTGGTGTCAAAACAAGAAGTTTCTGTTCCTTCTTCCTGTGCAATAAGAAGTGTGCTATTTGACAGACATACTGAATAATATCACCTTGTTACGTGATGATTTGTATATGGAGAATATACATTCTACTTATATTCTTAGGTCTTAAAATGTGAGACCCGTGACCCGTGGGTTAGAATGAACCTTCAGAAACCCATGCTTGTCGTAAGAGGCGACTAACAGAATCGGGTGGTCAGGCTCGCTGACTTGGTTGACACATGTCATCGGTTCCCAATTGCGCTGATCGATGCTCATGCTGTTGATCACTGGATTGTCTGGTCCAGACTCGATTATTTACAGACTGCCGCCTTAAAGCTGGAATATTGCTGAGTGCGGCGTAAAACTAAGCTCACTCACTCACTCACTTAAAATGTGTAATCAAACACTTATTTTGTCTTTAGACTGAATGCCACAGAGTTTGGAGACCTGAAAGAGAAGTTGCAATCACCAGTGCGAAATGCACGCAACATCGTCATCAAGCAGTCGTTGAGTGACCAGTTCCTGGACGCCTTCCGACAACAAGTGCACAGAAACCCCCCTTTTACTCCACCTCCTTCGATGGTATGTGCTGGACATTGTATCATGACTGATTTGTAATACAGAATGTTTATGTCAAATTTTAGATCATCTACAGACTTCCACAAATGAATACAGAGCATCAATAGGAGTGTTTGTTTGTTTGTTTGTTGTTTTATGCCGTACTCAGCAATATTCCAGCTATATGGCGGTTGTCTGTAAATAATTGAGTCTGAACCAGACAGTCAGGTGATCAATAGCATAAGCATCAATCTACACAATTGGGATATGATGACATGTGTCAGTCAAGTCAGCAAGCGGGTTAGAATTGATCTTCAGTAACCCATGCTTGTCGTAAGAGGTGACTGGCGGGATCGGGTGGTCAGGCTCCTGACCTGGTTGACACATGTCATCGCATCCCACTTGCATAGATTGATGCTCATGCTGTTGATCACTGGATCGTCTGGTCCAGACTCGATTATTTACAGACAGTCACCATATAGCTGGAATATTGCTGAGTGCAGCATAAAACAACAATTTTTAAACTTATCCTATTAAACGGTATGCACCTTCTTATTCTTCTTTGACCATGTGTGGAAACGTGCTATAGCTACATTGAATCAAACCTTTCTCGCCTCTAACCACCTGACCTTTGCCCCCACTCCGACATCGACACCTGTCAATCATCTCTATGAGCGTTCATATCGCTCAGATGATCACGTGAAGACCTGTGCCTGTCATTCATTTTCTTGTCACCACACCGTGTGGACATGTGTAGCTCAGCGATTGTGATTGTCAATAAAGTATCATGGGTAAATCTAACAGGAATGTTTCCAAGAAGCGTAAACATTGTGACAAATGGAACAGCAATTTTTCGGCGGCAGATCTGCATGCTCTTTGTGTGGATTGTTTAGGCCGCTGTGATTGGTCTCATCGCTGCACTTTTTGTGCTGATTTGGACGACGATGCGTTCTCGGAATATCGTTGGGTAGCTTTGAGACGCATGTCGGACAGAGACCGTCGTAGAACATGTGAGGGTCCCTCGTCATCTAAACGACCAAGGATCGGCGTAAGAAAATAGCGGTTAGACGTTCTAATTCACCGTCTCCAAACGAAGATTTCCTGGAGGATGCGTCAGATTCTTATCTTAGCGAAAACCTTCGTAGATTATTCTGTCTGCATCCGTCTAGTCCTGTCACTGCAGAAGAGTCGTCACCACCTAGAGTGATAGTGCTTTTTTCAACTGTTGTTCAGTCCCGTCCGTCCTCTGTAGATACTGTGCCCCAGCATGATTATGTGCCTTCTGTGGTTGTTTCTAGTGCGGCGCTTGGTGTGTTACCTGACATATCCTCTCAAGCGTCACTTGCTGTCAGTTCGGCGCTTTCCACCTCGGTGGTTGCGTCTACGTCTGTTACCCATGCAACCCTTGTGTCGAGTGCGACGCTTTCTTCTGGTACAGTGGATCATACTGGGTTGGCGCTTTCTCACCCTCCTGTGATTCCTCCGACTTTGACGATGACTGCTAGTGTTTTTTTTTCGACTTCCATACTCCATACTGTGCCTTTTGGTCATGTACCACCACTTTACTCCAATGCGTCGTTTACCTCCAGAGCGCCATTTGATCCCAGTTCAGCGCTCTCGTTCAGAGCGCAGCATGATCCCAGTTCAACGCTTTCATTCAGAGCGCCGCTAGATTCCAGTCCAGCGCTTTCATTCGGAGGGCCCTGGTTCGGCGCTTACTTCTAGCACTATCGGTTCGACGCTTTCTACTACTGTTCTGGGATCAGCGTTTGTTCCTGGTACACTCAGTGCAGCGCTTGCCGTCAGTGGTTGTATCTTATGCGACGCTTGTTCCTGGTGCCCCGTGTGTCCCGAGTGCGACGCTTAGTACACCACTTGTGTCTTATGTGCCCTTTTCGACGAACTCCTCTGTTGTCTCTCGTGAGATTAGTTCAGTGGGTTCTTGGTTATCAACTACTGTGGAGTTTGGAACCCGGCATCTGATGTTTCTGCTTCGCAACATATTGACTTTGATGCCATTGTGCAGACTGTTGCTTCAGCTTTGCGTCAACAGGCTCCAGAGCTTTCTGCGCTTGCTCATCCATCTGGTCACCCGACTGCCCCAGTTCAACATTTGGAGGAAGTACAGCATTGGTTACACCTTCTCCCACCTCAGATGGAACTTCATCTTCGGATGTTAGTATCGACGCGGTGGACACACCTCAGCTGTTGGTGTGGATTGTAGTTTCGCCTTCAGACTTGTTGTCTTGTTTTGACATGAAGCCAGGTGATATTGGTTCCATCACGTTTCCGCCACGTCCTTGCATCACCCAGTTGGCTGCTTCCTTGGATGAGGCGTTTGACAACCTGAGGAAGGTGAAGGATGGTTTTGCCAAAGTGTCCTTCCATGTGCATGGTTTTTCTTCGCTTATTGTCTCCCTTCCGGTCGATGATGATATTGTATTGTTGGGATCGAAACAGAGAGCTTACTCACCATTCTTGTTGGAGGATCGGGAGCTACTGCATTTGGATGGTGCCATCAGGAAGATTTTGACTCCGCTCAATATGGTCTTAACGACTACTGAAGCAGGTGCCATGTCTGTTTTCCAACTTCTCATCAAGAGGTGTATATTCGGGCGTCAATGGTGCTAATACAAGAGCTATTTCAGACCATTCTGGATCAGTTGGCCCATTTCTTTTCCTACGTCACGGCGATGCGGCGTAGGGGGCCCCTTCATTTGTCCTCATGGGAGGATAGATTTAGAACTGATCTCTTTCAGCAACCGTGGTCGGGCAAGTCTCTTTTCAATGGTGCTATCAGAGACGTTGCCACTAGAGTGGGGCAGGACGCTAATTTACAGGTGTCAGTGGATCTGCGCTCAGGTTCGACTTCTTCCTTTCGAGGGAGAGGTTCCTCCAGGGGACGTTCTCACCGTCAACGTAGAGCGTTCACTGCTTCTCGACCAGCTGCCTCCTCCGACCAGTCCTCTTCTGAGAGACCTGAGAAGCAGTGACTCCGAGACATTAGAGCACAACTGGGTTCTTCCGCCCCCAGTCGTGCCTATCCAGGCGTCCCCAGTAGGCGGAAGACTTGGGACTTATGCCCCGAACTGGATCATTCTGGATGACCCTTACGTCCTTTCCATACTCTCAAGGGGGTTCCAACTTCCTGTTATCGGCAATCCTCCTCTAACTTTGTCTCCGGAGCACAGAACGTATCCCATTGGGCAGACGGCTGTTCTACGCTCCACGATCGACACTCTTCTCCAGAAACTTGCGATCGAGTCCCTGGGCCTGGCTCCGACCGACCCGGGGTTCTATTCTCCAATCTTTCTGGTGCGAAAAGAAAGATTCCGACAAGTTAAGACTAATTTTCAATATGAAGGTTTTCAACAAAATGTTTCTACAACCTCCGCCTCACATTCGTATGATGTCTGTGGCTCTTCTTAAAACGATCATCAAGCCGGGAGACTACATGGTCTGTCTTGATCTCCAGAATGCATACCTTCACATCCCAAAATTTCCGGCTCATCGCAAGTTCCTTCGGTTTGTCTTCGAGGGCACCCACTATCAGTGGCGTGTCCTCCCATTTGGAATTTCTTTGGCCCCATGGCTGTTTACACAGGTGACAAAGCCTATAACCAGTTTCCTACATCGCAAGGGGGATAGTGTTCGAAGCTTACATCGACGTTTGTAACCAGGCACAGTCCGATCGTGGCCTTCTACTTCAACACATGCAGTACACGATGCGGCTACTTCGCCAGTTAGGCTGGTTGGTCAACTTGCAGAAGTCGGAACTATAGTTCGTTTGGCTCAAAAGCGGACCGATGAATTGCAATCTAACTCGAAAACTAATAAACATAACATACTCAATGAAACACTGATCATAATCAAAACATCATACCTACTCTGTGAGGTTTTTGCAGAATTTTTGTCCTAAAAATAATAAAGTTGTTTAACAAACTATCATTAAAATATTGACACAGTTCACTATTTGTTACGAGGGAGGAGTGCAGAGAAAGGGACAGCCAGGTGTTCGAGAATGGATGGAGACGGCACAGCACAGGTTAATGAATAAATAACTTTGTCTGTGAACGTGCTTCTCGAATCTACGAAGGTTTTCGCTAAGATAAGAATCCGACGCATCCTCCAGGGTCTACGACGGTCTCTGTCCGACGTCTCAAAGCTACCCAACGATATTCCGAGAATGCATCGTCGTCCAAATCAGCACAAAAAGTGCAGCGATGAGACCAATCACAGCGGCCTAAACAATCCACACAAAGAGCATGCAGATCTGCCGCGAAAAATTGCTGTTACATTTGTCACAATGTTTACGCTTCTTGGAAACATTCCTGTTAGATTTACCCATGATACTTTATTGACAATTACAATCGCTGAGCTACACACGTCCACACGGTGTGGTGACAAGAAAATGAATGACAGGCATAGGTCTTCACGTGATCATCTGAGCGATATGAACGCTCATAGAGATGACTGACAGGTGTCGATGTCGGAGTGGGGGCAGAGGTCAGGTGGTTAGAGGCGAGAAAGGTTTGATTGAACTTAGCTATAGCACGTTTCCACACATGGTCGAAGAAGAATAAGAAGATGCATACCGTGAGCTAGGATAAGTATATGAATATACAATTTATAGTTAAAATTTCCAAAACCAAACCAAAACTATTGCAATAATATACTTCATTGTGATAAATTTAGAAAACTAACCAGTCTACCTAACCTCCTCCAGTTAGGCTCTGTAATTTCTCTTCACCCCAAACCAATCTCACCAGCTCCTCCACCCATCTATAGAAAATGACCAGTCCCTAGGTGACTGTTTTCTAATGGTCAGTTGTGATGATTTCTCTAGTTGTCCTGTCATGTCCAGTGTGAACTGACCTGTACTTCTCTTTGGCAGGAAGTGGAGGCATGCATCGGCTGTATGCAGATGCAGGCCAACGTCAAGCTGCAGAAGCTGTGTGACAACCCGACAGAGGGAAGCTGCGTCCAGTGCTTCTGTCGACCCATGTGGTGTCTCGAGTGTATGGGGAAGTGGTTTGCCAGTCGCCAGAACCAGAACGAACCGGAAACGTGGATGAGCAGTTTGTCACCGTGTCCAACATGCCGTTCGAAGTTTTGTGTATTGGACGTCTGCAAGATTGTTAGCTGATGCTTTCCTGAGACAACAGACTTCTGTGAAGACTTGAGTACCTGAGAGACATTTGTGTGCTGGACATCTAAAGGTTCAAATGTATTCCTGCATCCTTCTGTATACTTCTGTTGTGATCAATACCTGGACCCATTCAATGTCTTAATATAAAATTGGTATTTGCCAAATAATAGGGCCCATAACTTAGGTCAAGGCACTTCACGAGACCTTAGTACTTCTGATGACAAACAACGTTTCATACCTTTTCGAATGGTCTCATGGTTGTCAGTTGAATAACAAATTTCCAATCTAACCATTCCCAAATTAGCCAACTATTATGACTGTCAACAGCTGTGACAGCCAAGCATGGTTGTACACTAGGTCCGGTATAGTAAAGTCATATGCCAATTTAGCACCAGAACTGGTTCTTGAATATACGCTTGTCACCGGAAATCTGGTAACGGAAGTAAGCTGGGCCCTGTCTCGCATATAACAAGTTGGGGCGTGCAAAGGGTGTCGTGAACCAGCTCAGTACCGAAAGTCCGCCTCACGAGACTCACAGGCCCTATAGTTATCCAGTTGAAATATTTCAGTGATATCATTAGGACACTATTTGTGTTTTTGTGTATCATCTCAGCTGGGAACTCTGGCCTGTAACATAATGGCCACTTCCCTGTCTTTACACTCAGGAAAATGAACTCTTCCATAGTCCTGTTGATAGAGTGCCTGCAAAGGTACATGGTTATAGAGTGCCTGCAAAGGTACATGGTTATAGAGTGCCTGCAAAGGTACACGGTTATAGAGTGCCTGCAAAGGTACATGGTTATTTCCTAAATGCATCATACTAAAAGCCACAATGTTTGCCACTCTGCCTATCACTTGGCAATAATGGAATACAACAAGGACCTTGTTGGCTTAGAGTCAGTATACTCGGTCTGAGTGGTTCCATGTCAAGCTGTGTAGAGGTGTCTCTCAGGTTTAGCTCTATACAATCTGGATTTGTCTGGATTAAAACAAACAGCCACACTCATCATGCACGAGTCTGTGTAAGTGTATTTTCAGTGAGTATGGTTTTATGCTGATTTTAGCAATATTCCAGCAATATCATGGCAGGGGACACCAGAACTGGGCTTCACACATTGTTCACATGTGGGAATCGAACCTGGGTCTTCAGCAAAAAGCGGACACTTTAACTATTTGGCTACTCCACCAACCCGTATTTTGTGACTGAATGATGTTTAACTTCATTTCAAATGTGGAAAATATATTTTTTTCAGTTCATGTTACATTTATTAGTCTTTCAAGCTGATGACCAAGACATATCTGTTTGCAATATGATGGAGATGGTAATGTCAAACTTGATACAAATCTACAGTATTGAATGGGTCTGGACATTTATCGTAGATGGATATAGAATATTATTACACTGGATGATCAAGTATGTTTTTCCTGAAGTCAATCAGGCATCTGTAAACATTTCATTGTCTGGGGAACTGTATGAGTGGGATATCTGTAACAAGTATTTACAAGCGTATTCCTGGGGCCTGTTTGTCAGATATATCTGTGTCCACAATGTGGATGCTGAACAGATGTGCATGTTTGGGTTCATATATAGCTGAGCTTTCTGTGAAACTTAAACTGACCACATACAACAAAGTAGGACTGATATCTACAGGACTGTTTGGAGATATATTCCTGGGATCAGTTTGCGTATTCTGCAGAAACTTTGAAAAACATTCAAGTCAGGCATGTAAGTGGGATTGTGATTTTATTCCAAGGCAGAAGCAGGAGTGATATCTACAGAACTGGTAGGAAATATATGCCTGGGATCAGTAGTGTGCTTTCTGCAGAAACTTTGAAAAACATTTGAGTCGCGAATGTCCGTGAGATTGTGTATTCATTCCCTGACAGGAGGAGTTACCTGTTTGAGAGTGACAAAGCTGGACAGCATGATTATGATGAGGTTAGAAGGATGTTAGGCCCCCTGTTTAAGCATATGGCATGACATGTAACCTGTTGTAGCATCTTATCTTTGAAACATTTGCATCCATGTATGAGAAATATATTTCATGGCATCCAGAGTACTGCATTGGGCTTGGCACCTGGCATTCTAAATTAGGATTGGTGCCCAAAGCATGATGATGATGATGATGATGATGATGATGATGTTGAAAGCTGTTGCAGAATATGAATTAATGATGATGTTGATGATGGCATCCATGTATGAGAAATATATTTCATGGCATCCAGACGTGCTGCACTGTTGCATTAGGAATACTTTTTCACAAGGCACCTGGCATTCTAAATTAGGATTGGTGTCCACAGCATGATGATGATGGAATTTGATTGTTGCAGAATATTCATTGATGATGATATTTATGATATTTGACTGTTGAAAACTGTTGGCAGAATATGAAATCTGCAAGATTGTCATTTATCCTGAGACCGATTATTAAATAAAATTGAACTAATTGGTCTCAGGAATTTATGTACACTGTCAGTTTTTTGTTTGTTGTTTAATGCTGCAAGCTATATGATGTAAATAATAATATTTGAACCAGACAGCAACATCCCTGACCATTAGGTTACAATAACACAGGATCAACACCAAGTCACCAGGCCACCCAAACAACATGCTAGTGGTTTTCCTTGCATGTTTAGCGGCTACAAAATTTCCGAGTCCTGTGTTGGGATTCGAACCACGGACCTTCTGATCCCAAGTCAAACGCCTTGTCTTTATGACCAAAGAGGTTAACCCCATCAGCAAGCTGACAAGGTAAGGATGTCATCTGTGGGATGACTCCACGCCCTGTTACACATGGATTGCAAACCCAAAGTGTTCCTTTGAACTATTTGGGTTTGTAATTCACACTGAGTGTTACATACACAAGTTATTTGTTCATTACGAAAAGAGGTACATGGTTAACATGGATAAAAAGATGGTAAACAAATGTAAGACCTGTGAAGGTCCGGGTTAGAATATTGATCTTCAGTAACCCATGCTTGTCGTAAGAGACGACTAACGGGATCGGGTGGTCAGGCTCGCTGACTTGGTTGACACATGTCATCGGTTCCCAATTGCGCAGATCGATGCTCATGCTGTTGATCACTGGATTGTCTGGTCCAGACTGCCGCCATATAGCTGGAATATTGCTGAATGCGGCATAAAACTAAACTCACTCACTCACTCACAAATGTATATAAACCTGTTCAACAAGTTCCCGTGTATGGACTTAAGTCACAGGACAAATGAAGTTCATCAATGTTGGTTGTGTAGAACCCTTGGATGGGTGATTATGTTTGGCAGTTTAACTGCCTCACACTGAAGTTTATATACAACATGTGGTGTTTCCTTTGGCTCTTAACTTAGAATATCTCTCTGCTCACCCAGCATTGAATGGGTACCTGGTATTATGGGATATCAATGGGACTGGTAATAATCCATCACTTCAGATAGCTTACAGCCCAGGGAGCTGAGAATGAAAATCAAGTGCACAATGACAGTGTGCGAAATATCCACTGGCCCGCTAGCCTGTGGCTAGTAAAAATCCAGTCAGTCCAGTAAACCTCCACAGTCACTGGCCCGACTGGGTAGTAAATTTTCATGGGGTCATTTTGTAAATATATCACTCTCCTCGACTTGTTAAGTTATAATACACTTTTAAATCATGCAAGATTATGGCCTGATAAAAATGTTCATCATATTACGGCTTAATGATGAAACCCTTGTCATGCCGACAATATCTTTTTCTCCTTTTTGTAATCTTTTGCTTAGTTTCTTCATTCAGATTTCAGGCTAAAGAATTATTTGGTGGGCTAGTAACTGTCAGGCATAGCTAGCCCAACTGGCTAGCAGAATTTGAAACTATTTCGCACACTGCACACTGATCAATGGTCGAGGATAATAACATTTTGTGCACTCTGAGCATGACATACAACATTGAAAAGTGCCACACAAATGGACTGCCATAAAGACAGCTCTTCTAACATGTTCACTGTAGCGAGTGAGTGAGTTTAGTTTTGCACCACACTCTGCAATATTCCAGCTATATGGCGGCGGTCTGTAAATAATCGAGTCTGGTACAGACAATCCAGTGATCAGCAGCATGATAAATTCAAACAGATATTGAAGGTATTACTTCAGTTTTATTGATTGTATAGAGATATATTCATCATTGGTCTCTGATTCATCAATTATTTTTACTTCAGTTTTTGCTGAGAGTCGATCTGTATTATTTTTAGTTTATAAATAAGTTATTGACTTTTGACTGATAGCAGACATGAAGTCTGCAGTTTTAAGATTTTCTTCGACAAATGCTGTGTTTGTAGTATTTCTGAATGCTTTCATTGTTTTCAGGATGAAATCAAACAAGTCATACAACAAACATGGTGGTGGTCAGTGGATTTATATTTTACATGTGAAATAAACAGGCATATCAAAAAAAACATTTAGTTCTGTGTGTTTTTTTCAAGCAATAAAACTGAAGTTGATGAAACAGGGAAAAATTGTTATGAATTTTTATGAACGGTTGAATTTTTGTTAACCATCAAGATTGTAAAATATTCCTGGTACAATTGTTTTGGATGTAAAACTCATAGCAAACAATGTGCAGTCTCATCTGTGTTTCTGTAATGTATACAGTGTGCATGGGGTAGTTTCGGTCTATTTCAGTATATTTGTTTCTGTGTGTGAGTGAGTGAATTGGTTTTAACATCAAACTGAACAGTTCAAGTTGTATCATGGTGTTATGGGTGATGATACATGTTTGAAAACATAATGTACACTTTTATATATTGATGAGCATACTTGGTGCAACTAGACTTAGCTTCAGGTGAGGGGCATTCACTTGAGGGAACCTATTGTTATGTGATTGAATGTACAGCTTGGGACTTGATGGATTCAGGTGAGTTGTTTTTGTAAGTTAATTGGAAGAGGCTAGCTTATAGACAAAGCATTATAAACTTGAATGTTTGTTACAGAAGCTCAGTGTTATTCTGGTCTTGTGGGGAAGTAGTCTGTATACTTGGACTTTGCCAGTAGTTTTATCCATGATGTGGATGTTCTCAATAATACACAAACCTCACCTCTGGACTGAATGACTGTGACAACAAGGAGAATCATACACTATGTGACTCAAGGGGAAATCATGATGATGTCCACAGACTTGGAAATAAGGTATCTATGACTCACAAGCTTCAAAAAGTAGTCGGCCTCACCAAGAAAATGATACAAATACAGCTATATTTATGTTTTATTTTTCAACCTATTATCTGTCAACCTCGGTAAGACTAAATTTTAATGATGAGGACAAATTTCTTTGAGTGGCATTTTTAGAAGTTTGATATGTCTATATAGTGTAAACATATTTTATTCAAAATAAATTGAACTAGGATTGGTAAACAAGCCATAATGGCTTATTTGAATACCTCTCCATTTCATTAATACATGAATAAAACAAATATTAAATAATATGCAGCATGATAGGAAAGCAAGCAACCTGCGTATTAAACATTATTAATCATTTATCAAACCTATGCGATTTTATTATAAA